ACCTACATGAAGAGGTCTATATGTCATTGCCTCCAGGGGTGTATGGGAAGGAAATGCAAGGCAAGGTGTGTAAACTGTAGAAATCTATTTATGGTCTCAAACAGTCTCCTTGGGCTTGGTTTGAGAGGTTCAGGGCTGCTCTTGTCTCCTTTGGTTACACACAAACTCAATCTGATCATACCCTGTTCTTGAAGAGAAATGGCTCTCTGGTGACCTTTTTGAGTTTATGTTGATGACATTGTGGTCACGGGTAATGACACTCAAGAGGTCAATAAACTCAAAAGATTTCTTAACTCTGAATTTGAGATCAAGGATTTGGGAGGTCTTCGGTATTTTTTGGGCATTGAAGTTGCTAGATCTAAAGATGGTATCTTCATTTCTCAGCGTAAATATGCCCTTGACCTCCTTGCTGAGACTGGTAAACTTGGAGCTAAACCAATCTCCACTCCTATTGATCTCAATCATAAGCTTTGTACTACAGATGGTGACCTTTTATCCGATAAGAGGGTGTTTCAGAGACTGCTTGGGAAGTTGTTATATCTTTGCATGACTCGGCCGGACATTTCCTATGCAGTAAGTGTTATTAGTCAATTGATGCATTCTCCCAGAGATACTAATTTAGCTACTACAAAAAGGGTTCTATGTTACTTGAAAGGTACTCCAGGGAAAGGTATTCTATTTGCCAAACATTGACACATGAAGCTAGAAGCTTTCACTGATGCCGATTGGGCAGGATGTATTGATGATAGGAGATTCACCTCAGGTTATTGTGCTCTGGTCGCTGGGAACATTGTGTCATGGAGGAGTAAGAAACAGTTTGTAGTTGCTAGATCCTAAGTTGAAGCAGAATATAGGGCAATGGCACATGGTTTGTCAGAATTACTGTGGCTACGATCCCTTTTAGAAGAATTGGGGGTTGACTATGAGAAGCCAACGATGCTCTACTGTGACAACCAAGCAGCTATCARYATTRCACATAATCCTGTTCAACATGACAGAACTAAGCACATTGAGGTTGATAGACATTTTATAAGGGAAAGAGTTTCCTCAGGAGAAGTTTGTTTGCCATTCATCACATCAGACGAACAATTGGCTGATATCT